CTTTTAATTAACCTTAAATATAAAAAAACTTTAAAGGATTTGTATTTATTAAATAATATTCAATACAAATAATAAGGTTTTATGTACCTGTACGCTAATTAGCCAATCTATAAGAATTTCTCTTCCAATTGGATTAATTTCATATTTTTTACAATATCCTTCGGATAAACGATACTCGATTTCTTTGTTCATTTCATATTTTATTATATCCTAAATTTTTGCATAAATTTTAAAATTTATTAAAAATAATTTTTTTTTTTTGGGGGGGGGGAGGATTTGTAAATTAGCTTACTTCTATGTAATCCGTTGAGAACCACATTATTTCTTTAATATCGTTAGTATTTAAACATTGAATTTCATCTTTTTCCTTATAATTTTCATTGATGTTTATTACATTTGATTTTTTTACATCATCATTTAATATAATATTATCTTCTTTTTCTTCTTCTCCTCCATAATTTTTATTTAAATCATCGGATTTTGTTATTGTTTTACTAGATATTTCCTGAAAAACTATTTCCCATTTTCTCTATAATCGCAAAATTTCACTGATGTAAATTTTGTAATTATTATTATTATTATTATTATTAAGTAAACCATTATATTTTTTAAAATATAATGAAGAAAACTTTTTGAAATTTACAAAAAAAAAAAAAAAAAAAAAAATTCTTCACCTTCTTTTATATTTATTTTACTTTCATCTTCATAACAACCATTTTGACAATAACTTCGATTACTTAAATCATTTTCTTCTTGTTGACCAATGATACCTTCGACATTGGTTGAATATTTTTGGTGACCAACGATATTACTACCAATATCCGATAATTTTCTCTGAATTTCGAAAAAAATAAAATAATTACAAACAAATACGTATTTTATAATAGTGTTGTATGTTAAAAACGTTAATATTCGCTCTGTGAAAAACCATTAAAATGTTTATGTTAATTTTAACATTTTTTTTTTTTTTTTACAAACTTACTTTTTTAGAAGTTTCCATGCTTTTGCGTAAATGAAACAAGTTCAGTTATCCGTCAAAAGTTTTTTTTTTTTTTTTTTTATTCGTTTAAATAATTTATTAAATCGCCGTAAGGAATAAAAATATTTTATTCATTTTGAGATTGAAAAAATTAAAATCAAGTATAAATTACTGAAATAATGTAATTATATTTAAAATAATTTATTCCAGATTGCACTTGTAAAGATCTGTAAAAGTTTTGAAAAGCAGACAGCGCTACTTGTTTTTTACACGGAACCATTTACAAAGCGGTGGATTTTCCTTTGGGTGTCTCAAAGGAAAGTTCATAAAAAAATTTAACCATTATTCAGTGTGACTTTAGATCTAAGACTTGTGTAAATGTGTGTGTGTGTGTTTTTTTTTTTGTACATTTCGTATTAATGCTTATTTAAATATGAGCGATTGCACAGATGTAAACGGAGATATTTCACCTCATAAACGTGAAATAATGAATACTCATTCGAAAGTAACGGTCGTTTTAGGTGCTCAATGGGGCGATGAAGGAAAGGGAAAAATTGTAGATATGTTAGCAATTGATGCTGATATAGTTTGTCGTTGCCAGGTAATTAATAAAAATACATGTATTATTTATTACTTTTATAAAACCTTATATATTTATTTCTCAAAAATTCACAAAAAGAAAATTTTTTAAAGAATTATGTGATATCACAAACTACTGTGTTTTTAAGGTACATTTCAATTTTTTTTTTTTTTTATTAAAGCGCATATTAGTGTTATTATTAGTAATTTTATTAATTTTAAAAAATCATTCAATGCATATAATAAAAATTATTTTCATAATAATAAAAGAGAGTTGAAAACATTATATAGTTTATATCAGTATTTAGTTTGATAATATTCAATAATGATTTGATAATGATGCAAATCATTTTTTTTTTTTTTTACACATCAATTATTTGTTTTCAAATGATAATTGATGTGTTCGAAAAAAAATTAACTTAAATTAAAAAAATTTTTTTTTTTTTTTTTTCTTGTTAATACAAATTTATCTGTTAATATTTTTTAAATTGCTCATGGTCAGTTGATTGGCTTTATTTAATTTTTTGTTTTAAATGTCACAAGTTCATTACCATTACCATTATTAAGAATTCATCGTTTAATTCTTCAGATTTGA